TTGGGCTCTGTGCTGACAGCTCGGAGCCTGGAGCCTGCTTTGGATTCTGTGTCTTCCCTCCCCCCTTCTCTGCCCCTCCCCCGCTCATGCTCTGTCTCTCTCAAAAATAAACATAAAAAATTTCTTTTTAAATAAAAAAAAAGGAGAAAAAGCTTATGATTTTGCTTGTGTGCTCTCTCTATTTCTCTCTACTGTGCCTAACACACCCTTTGTTCCATTCAAACTACCCATCATTTCCCATATTCTCATTTCTGGGTCTCCTTTTCCTAGAATGTCCTTATTCTATTTCTTACTATTGAAATCCTACTTTTCCTTAATGACCAGACCAAACAGTTCTAGTTCTTCTATAAAGAACTAATTCCTGCTATTCCCTCCCTTTGAAATGGTCAAATCAATCTCCTTTTCTTCTCCACTTCTGGAGGACCATTATAACTTCTATTACAGCACTATAACACTGCCCTATCTGCTGCAGCATATCACATTCTGCTGCAGCATATCACATACGGCCTTAAGTATATAAAGAACTCCAGCACCATCTCAAATCCCTTAGTTTAGGCCATCTCTGTTTTCTTAGGGTACCAATAACGATACTCAGTTGAATTACATCTATTCATATTCATTACACGGAAAAAAAACTTTGAGGTTATTTCAACACACTGTCATCATTCGTTGAGAATCAGTCACAGGATTAGAAAGGACTGAGAACACAATGCGCCCTAACGCCATTTTTTTCAACACAGGAACCAACGTTCCAATATGTAGTGACTAATGGGAGTTCTGACTACCTCAAAGTTGCCAAGAAGACTAAAATCAGATAATATACATGAACACATTTTATCAAATCTAATAATTTTACCTGGATTTTGGAAACGAGTTTCAAAAAAGGCCAGCTGTCATCATGCCGTACCAGTTCCACAACAAGTTGTTCAAAAGCAGACAATTCATGAACTCCTCCTTGTCGGCCTGAACTCCTTCGATTCAGTGTCATAGGAGATGATTCTAAATAAATGATTAAATTAATTTTAGGTGATGACAAAGCAAAATATTTGATCACTACAAGCTAAACAGGGTATTATAAATACACCTAAATTCAAAGAGAAAATTGCCATTCTGTATATATTGAGATAAACTAACTTACATTGGAGATATGAAAATCTGGATCAAAAATTACTATTTCCTTTTTTTATTTTTTAAAGATTTTATTTTTAAGTAATCCCTACACCCAATGTGGGACTCAAACTTACAACCCTGAGATCAAGAGTCGCATGCTCCATTGACTGAGCCAGCTAGGCACCCCCCACTATTTCCTTTTTGATCATAAAATTTCCAAATGAACATTCACTGGGAACATATTGTGTTTTTTCTTTTTCAATTTTTTAATGTTTATTTATTTTTGAGAGAGAGACAGTGCAAGCAGGGGAGGGGCAGAGAGAGAGGGAGACACAGAATCTGAAGCAGGCTCCAGGCTCTGAGCTGTCAGCACAGAGCCCGATGCAGAGCTCGAACTTGTGAACCGTGAGATGACCTGAGCCGAAGTCAGACGCCTAACTGACCGAGCCACCCAGGTGCCCCATCATTGGGAACATATTGTAACAACAGTGTAATATAAAAGAAAATTTCTAGAACTTTATATATTTATAAAGTTTATACATTTTTTAGCCTGTTTTATTAAAAATACATTTTCAACTATAATAAAATGAAAGTAAGCAATTCTCCAGTATTTCTGAAAACACACCCTTAGGAAGGTAACCTCTTCAGATCTAGCAAGTAGGCCTCTTTATAGATTACCTTGCATAAAAGAAAAGTAATTCTCAACAATGAAGTAAAAGATTATTCCTATAAGTCTTATTTTTTATATGGAGACTTTCTTAAAATGTTTTCTCATAAAATCTAAGGTGTATATAATGAAATACATTAGGAATGTATGAACTAGAGGAAAAGTGTATGAATGAGTAGAAAAGGGCAGCATAGTTCATATTATGAATTCAGGTGTTTAAATTTTCTACTTAAATGTAAATTCATACATTTTCCCCTTTGTTTGTCCTTGGAGCCAGGTCAGTAAATTCATAAATCAATTAACAACAACAAAATTTTTTTCTTAGCAGAGTTTTTTAGAATACAAATGCTTCAGGTGTACTATTTTTTCCAAGTAGCTTGAAGTTCAGAATTGGGGAAGAGCAAAACAGATAAGGGGATGGGAAAAGCTAAATTAGATCTCGGTGCCAAGTTACCTGATAGAACCCTCCCAAACCCAACAACCCGGTGACTGCACATACAGACTAATGGGTCTTCCGTTCTTTCACCAATGGATTCCTTAATCCTGTCATAGGTTTGAATAATACAATACAACCTATCTATAATTCTTCAAGGAACAGTAATGCTTTTTATGTTTAATTTTATTTTTTTGGAAATATCAAAGTTTTATTACTATGGACACTAAAGGAAGAAAAGAATAGGATTGAAGAGATAAATAAAGAGATTATATGGGATAGAGATTACTATAAAAAATGATGATCAGAATTAAAAAGACAGCTGATGATTACTCCCTAACAATATTACTCTCCCAGCTCTCCCCTGCCCCAAAATTCAGTATGCCAGATAGGAAACTTAACCAAATAACCCAATGTAGCCTGTGTAGGTTATGATGAATATATGTGTTTTAAAGTAGAAAGGGTGGAAGAGAATGAAATGTTAGAATATGTTATACCAAGACTGTTCAAATGTTGGCCAAATCTCTCCATTAGAAACAGAACACTAAAAATTTTTCACAACTATCTTGCTACACTACTAGAAAAATACTGGCAATATAATTTACCTTACTCCTCAAATGGCTAGCTGCCCCGTCAGTGAACATTATGCTTCAGGCTGGGCTGTTCCCTAGTAACTTTGTGTATCTTAGTGACAGCTTTTAAAAAATGATTCAAAGTGGGGCGCCTGGGTGGCTTAGGCCTGTTGTCAGTCCGACTTCAGCCAGGTCAATGCATCTCGCTGGTCTGTAGTCTGAGCCTCGCCGGCCAGGCTCTGGCTGATGGCCTCGGAGCCTGGGAGCCTGTTCTCGGCTCTGTGGCCTCCCTCTCCTCTGCCCTCCCCGCTTCACATGCTCTGTCTCTCTCTGTCCCAAAAAATAAACGTTGAAAAAAAAATTAAAAAAAAAAAAAAAAAAAAAAAGATTCAAAGTATCTCAACACTCCATCTTTTTTTTTAAAAAAAAATTTTTTTTAATGTTTATTTTTGAGAGAGAGAGAGAGAGACAGACAGACAGACAGACATAGAACTCAAAGCAGGCTCCAGGCTCTGAGCCGCCAGCACAGAGTCTGATGCGGGGCTCGAACTCACGAAAGCCAAGATCATGACCTGAGCTGAAGTCAGACGCTCAACCGAATGAGCCACCCAGGTACCCCACAACACTCAATCTTTCAAAATTATTCCATTTTCTTAGGTAAGAATAGTTTAAATTAGACTTCTTCATACCTGTAGATTGTCTTTTCCTTCCTCTTCTCTTGGATTCACTATCTTGGAGAGAAAGTTTTGAAGCAACACTTAGAGATCTTGACTTCTCACTTGACTTTGTGGCAATGACTCTGAAGTTAGGGAAGTTGGGACTATTTTCTGGTGTATTATTAGCACTTTTCCTGCCTCTGCGTTTTCTACGAGGACTAAGTAGTTCCACAAATACATCCGCTTGCAGTGGGCCATAACTCTGGCGAGTAGAACGACCGGCAATTCTTAAAGACTTAGTTTCTGTTGGAGGAGCAGATTTTATCTTTCTAAGGCTTCTACCAGTGGTTTTAGAGGAAACAGTTGTTTTGGGTGTACTCTGCTGACTCCTTGAAGTATATCTTCCAGGATCTTGTCGTTGGCCACGACTGGAGAAAGAAGAGCTAAGTCTCCCTCTTGTTTTAATTGGCAATCTAACTTGTGGTCTTCCTCGTTTTGGTGGGCTGTAAATATTGTTTGAAAACATAATTATTGTACAGAGAAATGATGCAATTAAGATTATTTCTATTCCCCTTGTTCTACTATTCAGCCAATGAGTTCTATATACATTTCTTTGTCTCCTTACAGTAACAGTTTTTCATCACTTTTCATTACCACTGATGCTGAGGTAACCTACAGTTTTGGCCAATGACTGCAACTAAAATAGGCCTTAAACCTATGGTTCCTGAATAGTATGTTAAGAATCTCTTTGCCATCTTCTGCTTCTTACTGTAAAATACAAAACTAGGTTCAATCTTCCATTTTATTATTATTATTATTTTTTAAGTAAACTCTAACCCCAACGTGGGGCTAGAACTCACGAACTCATGACCCCAAGATCAAGAGTCACATGCTTCAATGACTGAGCCAGCCAGGCAACTCTAGGTTCACTCTTTTAATTGCCTTTAAGCTGTAGACAAGTATCAAACAACTCCATTAAGCCTTTTTTATCCATCTCCCCATATACCTGGGCTTCCAGTTTACTTAAAATATTTCCAAGAATTTCCCATATCATCTTTATGTTAACACAAATACTGCCCTTATAATCTACCGGGGCGATAGCTCTTGCTAGTTGGAGCTATTGTTGGGGCTCTTGGGTGGCTCAGTTGGTTAAGCGTTTGATTTCAGCTGAGATCATGATCTCATGGTTCGTGGGTTCGAGCCCTGTGTCAGACTCTGTGCTGACAGCTCATGGCCTAGAGCCTGCTTTGGATTCTGTGTCTCTGTCTCTCTCTGTCCCTACCGTGCTCGTACTCTCTCTCTCTCTCTCAAAAATAAATAAACATTAAAAAAAAATTAAAAAACAAACAAACAAACAAAAACAAACAAAAACAACTTGTTTAAAATAGATGGGGCAGCTCTTTCTACTTACCCCTCCTCAGACTGGCCTTTTTGTACTTTGTCAGTTCTAAGTTGCCCTTGCTTCACATTCACTTTCCTGATTCCACATGAATGGGGTTCAAATGTTAAAAAGGGACAAATAAAGGGAGAATGCTCTAGTGCTGCCACGGCTGGAATAGCCAGGCACTTGCTAAGTTGCAGAGTACTTGGCTATATGGTAGTATATAGAAGTTGACCCCTTCTGGGTGCTAATGTGGTAGAAGTATAACAATATAATGTGCTTCTTGGCATATCTCTTTCTCTCTTTGTTCGAGTATAACTCCTTGAGAAAGCAATAGGGGCACAGGGAAGCTGCATTCATCTTTATCTCATGAATATCCTCTGGAATGCTTATTTGCTGCTTCAGGCATAAAATGAAGTAAAATCAAACTTAATGGAGGTCTGAATTAGTATTCCTGTCCAAACTTGAACTCATATTTGATTTTATGATCTGGGTAGGTTCATATAGCTACTATACTTCCTCAGGAATAATTTCAAATGCTTATAAAACTAAAGCAAGGATAACCTCAGGCCACTTATTACCCACCGGTTTTTTAAAAAGTCAAGGGCCCCAACCATTCCATTTGTATTTGCGAGGTCAAGACACTGTGTGAATAAAACTCACAAACTCTCATTTTATTGCATGGACTTACCTGACTTCTTCCTCTTCCTGTGAGTCATCTTCATCTTGTTCTACCTCATATTCTTCCTCCTCACTTTGACCCTCTTCATCATCATCATCAACTTCATCATCCTCACCTCCCATACTGTCTTCCATCTCTTCATCACTCTCCAAGGATGGTCTCTGTCTAGAGGAGAGTCTTCTGGAACGTTGCTTTGGCCGACACTCTGGACAAAACCAATCTCCTTCAGGCACAGTCTGACAAATCACAGAAATGATCATTAATCATCTATCACTCAAAACCTCAATCACTCAATTTAATCTAAGAAGTAGAAGAAGGGAAAAATACCTTTAGCTTTGGCCGAACACAGTAGGTATGATGACCCCGATCACAGCCATCACAAAGCACCATGTTTTCAGCATCACCCTTCTTTCGGCATATCTTGCAACGAGCATTCAGTATAGATTTAGACCATATCACACTACGATCCAAGGTGGAGAGATGAAGAAAGACTTGGGATAGACTAGCAGAAGCAAGGAGAGACTCTCTCCAACGGTCCAGGACTGTTTTATAAGAACGTCCACTGTCACTGGCATCTTAAAAGAAAAGGTAAAATGATTAAAGTTTCTAGGCAAACCTTAGACATCTCCTAGAACTATTTTCTTAGTAGTTTAAACAGATTTGATTTTAAAGTTTTTCTAATACTTAACAAAAAGATGTTAATATTAAAAAGAAAACTTCATGTTAAAGAAAATAGTTGCTGAGCCGTATCTTGTTTATGACATAAGGAATTATTTAAAGCCATATATCAAATGCTTGAAGATTTCAATAGTTAAAAGAGAAAAATAACTTAGGCAATGTGTTCTCAATCTAGTCTTTGTTACCAAATCTTGACCTAATTTAGAGGACTGGCTAAATATGATTACAAGTCAGTGACTATTCATTTGAATCAAGAATATTACTTCTTCTTTTCGGATAAAAGATGGACTTCTCTCTAAGTATCAATCATATGAGGTTTCTTTTGGGGCTGATGAAAATTTTCTGAGATTAGATCATGGGGAATGGCTGCTGAATTATACACTTTTTAAAAGGATGAATTTTACATATGTGAATTATATCTTAATAAAGCTATTATTAAAAATATCAATTCTGTACAAATGCCAACTCTGTTATCTTCTATATCTAGGAAAATACATATTTTTTATGTTTATTTATTTTTGACAGTGAGACACAACATGAGCAGTGGGCAGAGAGAGAAGGAGACAGAGGATCCAAAGCGGGCTTTGCATTGACAGCTGAGAGCCTGATGCGGGGCTTGAACTCATGAACCATGAGAGCATGACCTAAGCTGAAACTGGTCACTCAACCAACTGACCCACCTAGGCGCCCCTCTAAGAAAATAATTTTTAAATGAGGTAAATAAAAAATGCTAACACCCCATCTCCCAAAAGAACTTTCAGCACCAATATTTATATAGAAACATTTGGAACTTTCTGTCATTAATAACATCATTCCTTTATCTTCTGGACTAAAAAATTTATTAAGTGTCATTTCATTAGATGCCATTAGTCTAGTCAGTCTATCATTTTACATCGGTATGTGATTTCCATCTTCAATTATTGCTGGAGCACCTGGGTGGCTCAGTCGGTTTGTGCTCAGGTCATGATTTCACGGTTTGTGAGTTCAAGCCTTGCCACAGGCTTGCTGCTGTCAGCGCAGAGCCCGCTTCAGATCTTCTGCCCTCCCTGTCCCCGCCCCCGCCTCTCCTGGCACATGATCTCTCTCAAAACAAAACATTAAAAAAAATAAGCTTCAATTATTGCTACCACCTTAATTTTCCTAAGATATACTTAATTATGAAGGGACTACCACATAATGTCAAAATTCTACAAGATATATAAGACTCCATACATACTTTGTTCCTATTGTACCATATTTCCTACTATTATCTTAAAAAAAAAAAAAAGTCCTCCTGGGCCATAACATAATGCTTAAAAGAATGTGAGCTCTGCATGGGGCGCCTGGGTGGCTCAGTCGGTTGAGCGTCAGGCTTCGGCTCAGGTCATGATCTCACAGTTTGTGAGTTTGAGCCCCGCGTCAGGCTCTGTGCTGACAGCTCAGAGCCTGGAACCTGTTTCAGATTCTGTGTCTCCCTCTCTCTCTGCTCCTTGCCTGCTCATGCTCTCTCTCTTTCTCTCTCTCTCAAAAATAAATAAAAATTAAAAAAAAAATTTTTTAAGAATGTGAGCTCTGGAGTCAGTCTGCCTTGAGGTGAGTACTAGCTCCCCTATGTGAGCTTGGGCAAATTACTTAACCTCTCTGTGCTTAGGTTCTTCAAGAGTAATATGTGGATACTATCCACCTCTGAGAACTGGTGGGAAGATTAAGTGGGATAATGTACATAAGAAAAATAAAATGCCTGTCATGCATAAGTAAATGCTGTTAATATTATCATTATTTCTGAATTATACTGTTCCTCCTATGCACAACAATTTAGAAGATGACACAAGTGTGTTCTATGGTCCCTACCTTTAGGAATTAGGAAACTTTTTATACAGCTGGGAGAGTGAAGATATACACGAGGAGCTGAAATCATAAAGGAACAGACCTGCCAAACACTAGTGAGTCTTGAGCTCTTGTTTGACTGTTAGGGTGAGAGAGACAGGACATGGAATCAAGGGCTCACCCAATGTGTTGAATCCTTTCTGAAAAGCTAGGACACCATAAGGCTATACCTTTAAGTGTAAGGGTGGAAAAGGGTACCATGCAGAAAGAAAGATGTAGCAAGGAAATCTGCTCATTTGGGCCTTGGTGTTGGGTGGAAAGGGAAAATAAATCTACCACGAGAATATGTAACTATAAGCAATGCCTTAAAACAGTTTAAAACCTGAAAAAAACAAATTTTTTAAAGGGGTTTTAGGTTGGTAGTGACCTCAGGTGAATGGCAGAAACAAGTACAAATCTTTGCACATTCTCTCTGAAGAAATTTCCATGGATCAAGTTCTGAGAAATGAGAGTTTCGTCAAAACCCATAATGCACATGTGGAAACAAAACGTTACAAGCAAGAGCCCACAGAATCTGACCAAGAAAGACCTGAGATATCAGAATTAGACACAGAATATAACAAAATAACTATTTTAATATGTTTTAAGAAATAAACGTTTGAAAATATAACCAAGGAGTTTGAAAATAATCAGAACCTCCAAAAATAAGAGATTAACAGCTCAATGGGAGAGGGAAAAAAATGAATGGGTCAAACGGCTCTTCAGGCAAAGCTAAAGAGAAATATTAGCCAAGTGGGAAATGCAATAATACAGTCTTTGTTTTATTTCTACCTTCTCATTTTGTGTTTTCTATTTACCTTGGTTTTTTGATGTAAGGCTTCATGAAAAGTTCTGGCCTAAGCAGAACCTCTAAGGAAGGAGGCAACAAAAATTGTTAGTTCAAAGATCTTGAAGAAATCTTTCTGGGTAAATCAGAGGACATTCTTATTGTTAAGTGTAAGAAGTAAGTTTGCATAGGCCAATGTGGAAGAGTGGAAGAAAAAGACAAATTGTGAAGAAACTCTGGAATTTTGGAAGTCTGTTTGATTGTTAAACTCAAAGGTTGGTGACACATTATGGGTTTTTTTTTTTTTTTCAACGTTTATTTATTTTTGGGACAGAGAGAGACAGAGCATGAATGGGGGAGGGGCAGAGAGAGAGGGAGACACAGAATCGGAAACAGGCTCCAGGCTCTGAGCCATCAGCCCAGAGCCCGACGCGGGGCTCGAACTCACGGACCGCGAGATCGTGACCTGGCTGAAGTCGGACGCTTAACCGACTGCGCCACCCAGGCGCCCCACATTATGGGTTTTGATCAAAGATGTGCTTTAATAAAATTAAACCAGTGGTAGGTAGCTCAAGGTCCAATTTTTATCCCATCTACTTTTAAATATTCTATTTTTTCTTTTTAAAAGTTTATTCTCATTTATTTTGAGAGAGACAGAGAGAGCAAATGGGGGAGGTGGAGAGAGAGAGAGAGAGAGAGAGAGAGAGAGAGAGAGAGAGAGAGAGAGAGAGAGAGAGAGAGAGAGAGAGAGAGAACCCCAGCAGAGCCCAACGGGGGGCTCGAACCCACGAACTGAAGATCATGACCTGAGCCGAAATCAAGAGTTGGATGCTTAACCTACTGAGCCACCCAGGTGCCCCTTACCGACTGAGCCACCAGGTGCCCCTTAAATATTCTAAATACAAAAGGATGTCCATGTTTTTCTACTTTTATATAGTATCAATAAGGATAAAAAGTATATATAATTGATTCCATTTTTTGGTTTATTTTCTTGCTTCTTCTCCTGATTATAAAACTCTCAAGGGGAGATAGATCTTCTCTTTTATCTTCCATCATGCCAGCATAAGTTCCTCAAGAAATTACTAATTAAAAGTATGTTACTAATATGAAATAATGGTAGAGTCATACGATCAAATATTACACTGGGAGATTTCTTACTATTAACTGCCACATACAGTAATTCATGTGACCAAGCTATGTAGGTTTCTCCAGGGGATAAAACACAAAAACTCCCACCTTCTAGTAAAAAAAAAAAATTCTATAAATAAATACCATATGCAAAATAAATAAACATACCTTGCATTACTGTTCATCGTTTTCACAGATAAGTAAGTATACTAAAACTCACCAATGTCAACTTTTTATATACCACTTTTTAAAAAATGTTTTTTCTTTTTGAGAGAGAAGCAGAGAGATAAGCGCTAAGCGAGAGGTACAGAGAGTGGGGCAGAGAAGTGGCTCCAGGTTGAGGATGGAGGCAGAGAGCTGACAGCAGAGAGCTCAACTCAGGGCTCAAACTCACGAACCGTGAGATTACGACCTAAGCAGAAGTCAGATACTCAACTGATTGAGCCACCCTATATTATCAGTTTTTAAGTTTCATTATCTGAGGTATGAAATGTAGAAAGGAAAATGCTAGGAAGAGGATATTGTTTTATAAGCTTATCCCCAACCCCACTCCTTTCCAAAAAAATTAAACCCACGGTTTTCCTTCAAAAGCTAAATATTCAAACCAGTGCTCAGCAACATAGAAAGTAAATTCATAATTCTTTAAAAAGACAAAATTCTTTAAAAAGTTAAAAATTTACCATCTCTCACACTAGATTGATCTTCCTCTTTTTCTTGTCCTTTTTTTTAAATCTCCCTTTTGATCTTTATTAATTTCTGTGTTACCTAATTCCAAACTGATAAAGTTAGTTTGAGGATTTTTTTCATAGCTTACGGGTGATGACTTTATGAAGTAATGACTTTATTTTTTTTTTATTTTTTATTTTTTTTTAAATTTTTTTTTTCAACGTTTATTTATTTTGGGGACAGAGAGAGACAGAGCATGAACGGGGGAGGGGCAGAGAGAGAGGGAGACACAGAATCGGAAACAGGCTCCAGGCTCTGAGCCATCAGCCCAGAGCCTGACGTGGGGCTCGAACTCACGGACCGCGAGATCGTGACCTGGCTGAAGTCGGACGCTTAACCGACTGCGCCACCCAGGCACCCCTGAAGTAATGACTTTATAAGGGATGAAATTACCAATCTGAACAAACAATTCTCACATATCTTACCTAAAATAATTCAAATATGAGTATCTTCCTCAAGTTAAAAAAGCCTAGTTTTATTAATGTGTTTAATTAGAATAAAAGGGACATACTAAGGAAAGTGGAACAAGAGTAGAATTTTTATTTCTTATTTGCTTCCTCAAGAAACTGAAATAATCTTTGAAGCTAAACTGGGAAAATTCCTACCACAATTAATTTACTATGTTGAAAAATAATCACAAGCATGGAGAATTTTAATATATATGCTATCTCAAACATTCATAAAGTGGAACCCCCATTTCTCTCCCACATTAAGGTATACTTGATTACCTTGATCTGATGTTTAGATTACCTTAGGGGCACCTGGGTGGCTCAGTCAGTTGGGCGTCCGGCTTTGGCCCAGGTCATGATCTTGTGGTTTGTGAATTCGAGCCCTGGGTCTGGCTCTGTGCTGATAGCTCAGAGCCTGAAGCGTGCTTTGGATTCTGTGTCTCCCTCTCTCTCTGCCCCTCCCCATTCGTGCTCTGTCTGTCTCTCTCTCAAAAATAAATAAACATTAAAAAAAAAAAAAGATTATCTTAAAAACCCAGAGACAGCTCTATCTCTTGTTGTCCCATTCAAAACAGACCCTCCAAAAGCTTAAATATAATATAAAAAGCTACAGACACCAATTATTCTATTAATTTTTTTAATGTTTATTTACTTTTGAGAGAAAGAGACAGAGCATGAGGGGGAGAGGGACCGAGAGAGAGGGAGACACAGAATTGGAAGCAGGCTCCAGGCTCTAGCTGTCAGCACAGAGCCCGATGCGGAGCTCGAACTCACAAACCGTGAGATCATGACCTGAGCTGAAGTCAGACACTCAACTGACTGAGCCACCCAGGTGCCCCTCTATTAATTTTTTATGTGGCAGCAATGGTAGATGATAATATCCATATTATAAATGATTAACATCTAACTTTGATCAATATTTACCACTAAAGTAAGTTAAACTTTTGTTTCACCTATTTTTTAAGACTTCAAATTGAAATTGCTCCTTTTTATCTGTTAGGATGAAATGAATGTTCCAACACTGCTATATACAAACCAGCATAAAGAACACTATAGCTCTCAGCTCTCATATAACCTACTAGATATTAGTTGGAACATTCTCCAGTGTTAACTTTTCCCCTTTGTCTAAGTTTTTAAAAAGATGTACTGATGAAAATATGGACACACTAAGCAATTTGATTTTTTTTCCCTTGAATTTATAAACAACTTTAATTGATGGCAATTTCAGAAATGGAAAAAGCTGAATTGCATCTTATCTCTTTTGGAATCATGGGATTAATGAGTAGTAGTGATATATTTCTAAGAGCTACATAGTTTACAAATAACTGTCAATTGAAATTTTAATTGAAGTAATTGTAGATTCACATGTGCTTGTACGAAATCTCTTGTACATGTAATTCAATTTAGACACAGAAAATATTAAGAAATATTGAAGACTGGGAAGTAAGAGTGACATAGCAAATACAAACTAATATTTTTGTGAGCTTTGATCACATGTATTTATTTCTACAACTGCTACTTTCCAATCTGAAAAGTGGTTATTAAGCTCACGGTGGAATTATCAATTTATAAAAAATATGAATAGGCTTATTAGAACAATGAGATACTGGCCATAAACTCTTCAATTTTAAAACAGACATTTAAAAAATATATTCACATTCTGATAGCACCATATATTTATGAAAATTTTGTTCTTAATATTCAACAATATTCACGTAATTTAAAAAGGATTTGGGCGTCTGGGTGGCTCAGTCGGTTAAGCATCCGACTTTGGCTTAGGTCATCATCTTACAGTTTGCATGTTCGAGCCCTGCATTGGGCTCTGTGCTGAGAGCTTGGAGCTTGGAGCCTGGAGCCTGGAGCCTGCTTCTGCTTCTGTGTTTCCCTCTCCCTCTGCTCCTCCCCTACTCATGCTCTGTCTCTCTCTGTCTCTCAAAAATAGTATTAAAATTTTTTAAAAATGATTTTAGTCTATTCAAGTTGCTTTTTCTTTTTTTTTTTTTAATTTTTTTCAACATTTATTTATTTTTGGGACAGAGAGAGACAGAGCATGAACGGGGGAGGGGCAGAGAGAGAGGGAGACACAAAATCGGAAACAGGCTCCAGGCTCTGAGCCATCAGCCCAGAGCCCGACGCGGGGCTCGAACTCCCGGACCGCGAGATCGTGACCTGGCTGAAGTCGGACGCTTAACCGACTGCGCCACCCAGGCGCCCCTCAAGTTGCTTTTTCAATATGAGACCAAAAAGATATGGCTTTAAAAACTGTTTCTTCTTGCACCCCACTACTGAGATACAAACTATCTTGAATATGATGAGCTATAAATTAATTTAACATTAACCATAGGGAAGTAGAGGCAGTTACGACATGAAAATTGATTTGGAACTTGAAACACACATTTTCCCAAAGACATAGTGATTATATTCCTAGCTTAGTCCCTAAAAGCATATTAATTTAATAAACTGCTAAAACATGATCCAGATAGTATTATTTCTATCATCCTAGCCATAAATTATAGAGAATTTCCTCATTTGTATTTAACACTTGGTATTTCTGATTTAGTGCTTCTTATACAGTGCTCAGGTTAGTGACCCACACTGTTAAACCATACCCCCAGTGGTGGAGATTTAAGTAGCTTCTTTGGGATTCTGTTTTAAATAACAAGAGAAATACTTATCTACAACTTTTGATCATTCAGGATCTGGCTAGTCACAGGTTTTGGTAATCTTTCTTCTGATGAAACTTACACACAAAATAAAGGATTAACAGATACACTTAAATAGACAGTCATTAAAGATCAGTATCTACAATAAAAAGTACTTTAGCATTATTTAAAAAAATCTCAGGCTTTTAAGTGAAAATATAATCTCAAGCTTTTCCAATTAGCCAATTTTATTGTGTCAGCCCATAAATTTCTATTAAGAGGCAATTTCAAAATCATTTAAAATATAAATAATATTTTCAAGTAAAAATTGATACTTACCAAGTGGAGCTTTGAGAAAACGCCGCTCAATGCCCTGCTCTATCTGAAAAAGTGCCATTGCCAGATAATGAACCACATTGCTTACTGACTGTGGTGTGCTTGCATTAGTTGAGACAGTACTTGGAGTTTCTGTTTTTATGCCCAAAAGTCTAGAATGAAAACATGGAAGAGTTTATGGTACTTAAAAACACTGTTAGGTAAGACTTGAGTCTAACTCCTTCAAATGCTTACTCACACCTGTGTAAGAAATAGTTTCCCCAATCTCAAGGGAGATCACATAAGCTAGCAGGAAAGGGAGATAAATACATGAATCAAGAGCTTAACTAAATACCAAGTCCTTTAAGGTCAGAAGGGCAAATATTTGGAGGAGGAAAGGTGGATGAGACACGGGTTAGGGTAAAGGATTTAGGGAGATGACCCAGTGGTGGGCCTTAAGGATAAGCAGACCAGGCAGCTTCTATTTCTCTTGCTTCACCTTTTACTGGGTGGGATACTTACAGCTGCCTCCTGAATAGTTTCTTAGCCATCAATCTTATTCCCTTTGCAATAAATCTCCATGCCGCAGCTAAAATGATCATTTACACGTACAAACCTATTCGCTCAAAGCCTTTAGTACTATATCTTCCCTCCCAGTACATCTTCCCCACCTTTAGGTCTCAGGTTCTTGGTCACTTCCTCTGGCACTTCCTGTGCTGTCTTCCTTGATCTACAAAGACAAGTAGCCCTCCTATGTACTACATTTGCACTGGGTATCTGCTTCTACCAGAACTCTTATCCTGTTTCATAGCTGCTAGCTTAATGTCTCTTTTCCATTTCCTTCTAAATAAACTCCTTAAGGAGAGTTATCCAAAAAGAACTCTGAAAAAGTCAAAGCATCTATCTACAGATCTACAGATACAGATTCTGTTTAATAATTCAAATAATATTTAAGCCCAACACAATTTACTAAGATATCCTATAGAAAAATGGACAATATAAAATTACTTTCTGAAATTAATAAAAGCCTAGGCTCAAAGACTTTTTATTTTAAACTTGAGCAAGTATCATTATCCTAACAAGCTGCCTTTTGTCTGCACTAGCACAAAGTGGAGTAAAAGAGAGTTTGTGGTTGAGGAAAATTATTTCAGTGGTTACAAGTATTAAAAGTCCTCATGGTAAGATTTTAAAACAATTTTTTGAAGAAAAAAACATTTACTAAAAAGAACCATATAGAGTGGCAAGAAAAAGTGAGTTACTTTAGAAAAATCATTTTTATACCTGTCTTTTACTATGACCTTTGCTTGCTCATCAATTTCCATCTCTTCTATACCTTCATTCACAGTTTTAATGATCCCATTTTCCTTGTTTTCCTCACTTAACAGCTCATATCGTCCACTCTCTAATGCCGATCTCCAGATATGTCGATCTGTAACCTGTAACAAAACCCAGGTTTACCAACATGGGAAAATGGCATATGTTGTTCCTAAGAAGTATGAGGTTCAATGTACATATGAAAAATTCATGAATATTCTAGAAAAGATTGTAAATCAAAAAGGGATCTAAAAATAAGGTTACTAAGTGGCCAAAATGGAATTCATATCATTTATAGATGGAAGCTTTAGTACCTCACTTTTTATATAGGGAAATCATAAACAATTCTGAGATTGGTCACCTGACAGTAGCAAAAAAGTGACAGATGATAGCAAAGGAATGAACAGAACACACATATCAAGCATGAATTACTTACAGATTTTAAAAAGGTAACAAAGAAACCAATAAACAAACCAGACTCAGCAGAGCAGGCAGGAGCTAGTCAAGGAAGAAGAAAATATCCTTACACATTTTAACATCTCAGATGAAAATACTGCAAAACAGTTATTTTAAACATACTAAAAATTACTATTAAAAAGGTCAATTATGTTCATTAAATTCTGTTTACGAAAGCAGATAGCCATTTGGTACATTTAAGAAAGATTTCTATTCATATATTAGTATTTTGATAGAGGGGAACTAGCTTAGTTTTCATAAAAAATATTATCACTCCCATGTATTTATTCAAAACACACATGCCTTGCCTGTATCAAATAAGTTAACAAAAATGACGAAAACTTTGGTAATTAGGCAAACTAAAAATGGGACCAGGTACTAACCTTGATTGCTCCTAATGTTCCTTGGTAGATTCTGTCTTCAATATCCAAAAGAAAATCTCTCAGCCTCAATTCAAGCTGTCTTTCCGCAGACATCTGAGATGAATCATATGCAGTGGAAGATCTTCCCCGACTATAGGTAGGTTTGCTATCAGTTTGAGGTTTGTCTGAAATAGTTACCAATACCTTTATTATGATTTTCTTATTAAAAACACAATTTTCCCAATGTGACAGTTATGATCATGAGATAATGGATTTATAAAAACACTTAGTAAATTCTAAAGTACAAAAGGGGGGGGGGCAGAAATGTTTGCACATCAGATATCTGATGAGGAACTTGTGTCTAAAATATATGAAGAACTCTTACAACTCAATAAAAAGACAACCTAGGGGAGCCTGGGTGGCTCAGTCGGTTAAGTGGCCGATTTCGGCTCAGGTCACGATCTCGCGGTCCGTGAGTTCGAGCCCCGCGTCAGGCTCTGTGCTGACAGCTCAGAGCCTGGAGCCTGTTTCAGATTCTGTGTCTCCCTCTCTCTGACCCTCCCCTGTTCATGCTCTGTCTCTCCCTGTCTCAAAAATAAATAAAAACGTTAAAAAAAAAAAAAAAGACAACCTAATAAAAAGAATGGGCAATAGGGATTTGAATAGACTTTTCTTTAAGGAAGATATACAAATGGTCAATTAAGACCATGAAAGGATGCTCAACATTACTGGTCTTAAGGAAATACACACCAAAACCACAATCAAGTACTACTTCATACCTCTAAAATGGTTAGAATCTAAAAGTCAGATAGTAACAAGAGTTGACACGAACGTGGAAAAAATTTAACCCTCATACACTGTTGGCAGAAATATATAATGGTGCAGCTGCTTTGGAAAACAGTATGGCAGTTCCTCAATGATTAAACAGAATTACCATATGACCCAATAATTGCACTCTTAGATATACACTCAAGAGAAATAAAAACATATGTCGACATAAAAACTTGCACACAAACATTTACAGCAGCATTATTCATAACAGCCAAAATGTGGAAAAAACAGAAACATCCATCAACTAACAGTTAAGTAAAATGTGGTGTTTACCTACATAATGAAACATCATTTGGTTATGAGAAGGTATGAAGTACTGACACATGCTACTACTTGGATGTACCTTGAAAACATTGTGCTAAGTGAAAGAAGCCAGTTACAAAAAACCATATATAGTATATATATGATACCATTCATATAAGATGTTCAGACAGGGAAATTTCCAGACAAGGAAAACAAATATGGGGTTTCTTTTTGAAGTGATAAAAATGTTCAAAAATTGACTGTGTGATGGTTGCACATCTGTGAATATTAATGAAAACCACTGACTGTACACTTGACATGAGTGAACTGCATAGCATATGAACTAATCTCAATAAAGCTGTTAAAGAATTGTGATCTGAAGTTTTTAATTCTGAAGAGAACTAAAGTAGACATGACAGTATGCCCCTAAATTTAGGAGTTCTTTACCTAGAGAAACTCAGTAATATGAAAACGCCAAAAACGCCTTATTACCTTCTTTTACCTGTTATCAATGAACCAGCCATCGTATGTTGCTACCCTATCTGCCCTTGCAGCCAATCTCCAAAGGTGTGATCACTAATGGAAACTGTCCCTGGGACCCTCAGCCAAAACCCCTAGTGAATGAACTATCATGTCTATTGTCTAAAACTAATGGCAACCTTAGTGCCTTGGGTATTCAGAGTCTACTGATCAGGGAATGGGACTGGGAAGAATATGAATCTCCCTATACGGCCATTCCTCATAATCTAAACGGAACCCAGTGAAATCTTGTCTAACTGGAAAACATTCTCTAACTTGCCAACTTTCATGGTCCAAATGAAAGAGAAGACAGAAGATGTTCTAATAGCTTGACAGATGTTTAATCCTGAACCAGAGATTATGGGGAGAGAAAAAGAAATAGTTTTCAATGAAAATTTACCTGAAAAATGAAATTTCTCTTCAGAAAAATGGGCTAGCTGTGCACATATTCTGCTTTTCTCTTGCAACAAAGTTTCTTTTAAGGCACTTTCTCTATGTCCTCTAGAATTTAGAGCTTCAATAAGCTGGTCTAGCTGTTCACAAGAACTGTAAAAGCACCACCGATTCGGCTTATGCACTGGTTTTGGCAGCTGCACAGAATCATCACATGGACCTTGGTCAATGTTGGAGGTAGATTCAGACATCAAAGACTCTCCAGTTTTAGTGGATACCTGAGGATCCTGAGACTGTACATTATTCTGAAATGATGAAGGTCTAGGCAACAGCATGTCTTCAGTGAGACCAGAATAATCCTCTTCAATAAATAATCCAGGAATAGAAGGGAAAATCCAATATCGCCTATACATGCGGTCTCGGCCCAAGGGAAAGATATTGGTACACGCTATGGCACTTTGGATTTTTTCCAAGAGCTCTTTCTCTTTTCGTTCATGTTCCTGTTTTAAAGCTGCTTCTTCATCAGCAGTAAGAGGCTCTCTCGTTACACAGTTGACTTCTTCCTGTCTTGTAAATTCTTTAAACCCATTTTGTCCCCTTTTCCCTATAATTGAAACATTTGATCATCATCACATTTTAAATTTTCATCAGAAAAATATACAAAGCCATCCCAAGTTACTATGTATTATGGACCAAACCGAATGCCCAACAAATTCATAGGTTGAAATCCTAAACCCCAATGTAACTATATTTGGAGACAGGGCCCTTAAGGAGGTAATTAAGGTTAAATGAGTCCAGAGAGCGGGACCCTAATTCAGGACTGGGGTACTTATAAGAGGAGAAAAGAAAGAAACCAGAGTGCTCACTCACTTCACTTCTGGGCACAGAAGACAAGTCATGTGAGGACACATGACAAGGTGCAATAGCAAGCTGAGAGAGGCCTCACCAGAAACCAACCCTGCTTGTACCTTGATCTTGGACTTCCAGCCTCCAGAACTGTGAGAAAATTAATTTCTGTTGTTTAAGCCACCCAGTCTGCGATATTATATTATGGCACACGAACAGACTAATACTCTATGCTGATAAGAAACTGGACTTACTTACAATACAAGAGTCACACAAAAAAACTGTAATCTCACACTGGAGAGTGAGGCAGAATCTGTTATGCTGCAACATAGTTCTTTCTTTAAGGCAGGAGTCAGTAAACTAGTTTTATAAAGGTCTAGCTAGTAAATATTTTTAGGTTTTGTGGGCCATATGGTTTCTGCTCACAGCTGCTCAACTGTGCCATTGTAGCATGAAAGCAGCCACAGACAATATGTAAATGAACAAGAATGACTGTGTTCAATTAAAACTATGGTCACTGAAATCTGAATTTCATTTAATTTTCATATCACAAAGTATCATTCTTCCTTCCCCAACTACTTAAAAATATAAAAAACCATTTTTAGCTTATGGATTATATAAAAACGGGCAAGGCAGATTTGGCCAATGGGCTGTAGTTTACAAACCAATGATTTTAGGTAACAGAACACCTAATGCTTAGTTGGGTACCTAGCAATTCAAACAGAGGACATTTTCCAGCAAGAAATGTTTCTCCAGGGGGCATGGCTACATGAGAAACTTCTGGCCAAAGAGATGGGAGCAGAAGCATTAAATGTAACCTCTGGGTTGTACCTCTCTGCATTTCCCATCTTTCAACTAGCCAGAATGGAGACATGGTGATAAATCATTTTTGAACATGAGAATGGCAGCAAACCCTATGGATGGCAGTACCAACAAGACAGGAAGAGACTGGATTCCTGGTGACCTGCCAGGCCTTTTATGGTGTGTTGAAGAATTAAACTTCTCTTCTTTCAGTCACTGTCAGATTGCTTAGATGGGTGGGGAGTTACTTCTATTTCTTTGCTTGAAAGTGTTTGTATATAAGATTATAATTATCTGCTTCTTTGGGGCACCTGGGTGGCTCAGCTGGTTGAGCGTCTGATTCTTGATTTTGGCTCAGGTCATGATCTCATGGTTCATGAGATTGGGCCCTGTGTTGGGCTATGCACTGACTGCCTGAGGAGACTGCCTGCAATTCTCTCTCTGCCCCTCCCCTGCTTGCTCTCAAAATAAATAAAGATTAAAAAAAGTTATCTGCTTCTTTAAAATTTTGCAAAATTCACCTATAAAGTTGTCTAGGACTGACATTTTCTTTGTAGGAAGGCTTTTAATACTGATTCAAGACCTAAAGGTTTAGGACCAATCACCTTTTAAATTTTCTCATGCATTTTTATAATGTGTGTTTTTCTAGGATTTTGCTTTATTTTTGCCTCCATTTTCCTTTAAAAAAAATTTTTTTTTTGAAGGAGAGAGAGACAGAGCATGCACAGGGGTGGGGCAAAGAGAAGGAGACACAGAATCTGAAGCAGGCTCCAGGCTCTGAGCTGTCAGCACAGAGCCCGATGCTGGGCTCGAACTCACAAACTGTGAGATTATGACCTGAGCCAAAGACGGACGCTTAACCGACTGAGCCACCCAGACGCCCCTAAACATTTTTTTTAAAGCTTTATTTTATTTTTGTGAGAGTCAGAGATGACACGAGTTGGGGAGGGGCAGAGAGAGAGGGAGACAGAGAATCTCAAGCAGGTTCCGCATGAATGCGGGGCTTGAACTCACGAACTGTGAGATCATGACCTGAGCCAAAACAAAGAGTGAGACGCTTAACCAACTGAGCAACACAGGTGCCCCCTTTTTGCCTCCATTTTCAAAGTTATTTCTATAAAACTGCATATGCTGTTTCCTTACCTTTAAATTTCTACTCTTATCTGTAGTTATGTTTACCTTTTTAGTCCTAACCTTATTGTGACTTTCCCCCCAAATCAATTTCAACAAAGGTTTGTCTAGTTTGTATCTTTTTCAAACAACTAATTTTTGGCTTTGCTGTTCTCCTGTATTACAGTTTACTTTTTATTAATTTCTATTTGTATCCATTGTTTCCTTTTATCTGAAAGGATTATTCTATCTTCTACGCTAACTTCTTAAATGAATGCCTAGGTCAATTTGCCTTTCTTCTTTCCTAATATGTATTAAAACTATAAATTTTCCACTAAGTAGAGGGACTGTATCCAACAAGTATTAATGTGCAGTACTGATTAGCTTTTTTTCAGTATTGAGTAGTTTTAAACATTTTCTAGTTTCTATTTATGGTTTCTACTTTAACCTATTACTTAGAAGTGTGTTTTAAATGAGGTGTTTAAACCTTTAATCAAATGAGGTTTTTTTTTTTTGTTTGTTTTGGATTTCTAAATCAATTGCATTGTAATCAGAAAATATAGCCTTCATGATACAGGAGATTTTCTGTCTACTTATAATAGCCATTTTAGAAAATAATGTAGAAAAAAAAGATACCATCAAAATTATAGGCACAGAATAAACTTACAAATCTCCTTCAGTAGTTGTCAAATGAAGATGGTTAAAGATCCTCAGAAGTAAATTATATCAACAACTTTAAAAAAATGTGTTCCCTTTGATCTAAATTTATAAAATTATTTTAAGGTAGTAGATTTCCATTCTCAATCATGTGGTACCAATTATAAGCATTACTGACCTTTGTATTTCTAGCATCTAAAAGGTACTCAATGAATGTTGAGTAGGCTATAGAATAAAAATTTCTATTTCGCCTAATATCAAGTAGTCAATACCAAACTCAACAAAACTTGCTAACCAGAAGTTGAAGTTATGTGAAACTGATCTGTTAAAAGAATATGAATATTGTCTCTCTTCCCTAAAGTATAAATGACATGAGAATAAAGACAGAATGTAACTTCTAACACCATTTTTTAACAAAATGGTCACCATCTAAGGAACTTATCACTGCTATGAGTTGGGCATTTAAAAACAAACACACCTAGGAATAATAAATGGAAGTAATCTAATACATATTTCAGTATAGCTGATTTATAATGTGCCTTATTAATTAAAAACAAGTAAGCATGCCCTTAAGAAATTTCTGTATTACCCCTTCTGCCTCTTTTATGTGATCTGGGGTCATCTTCATCTTCAGTGATGGTATCTTGATCAAGTTCCTTTTGCTCCATTTCTTTACTCTCAGTGCTAGTATCAAAATCTTCCCTTTCTTCCTCCCTTAAGGAAAAAAAAAAGATTACTATCATTAAAGAATATATAAAATTCCATTCATGAGATATTCATTGCCTGCTTATGAAGGGCTAGCCATTATGTTTGGGAAGTAGTGGACAAAATGATATTCTTGCAGAGGAAACAGATAACACAATTATAAAATTAAAATATGTAATAACTATTAAAAAAGGAGAAGTTCAAGGTGTTATGAAAACATTTCAAGGTGAACTGAAATCTAGTCTCAGGGATCAAGGAAGGCTTGTTTGAGGGGCGCCTGGGTGGCTCAGTCGGTTAAGCGTCTGAC